TTCTACAAATTTAATTAACTCAAAATTTTAACCTCCAAAAGAATTGCTAAAATCGAAATATTCAACACCGTGGCGGGGTGCTCTCAAGGTAATCTCAGGATGTTTGTCTGGACTACAATTATGACTGCTCAACGCCTTCTGTTTTCTTAAAATGACATTTTTTTCTCTTTTAAAAGATTTCAAAAAAGTTAAGCTTCAAATAAATACTTTCCAATAACTGAATTTGTTGGCCCTTAGGTGTGGTGATGTCAGATTACTACAAGCAAATGCATATTTTGCCTCTCATCCCAAAATTATTGCCCAATTTTTTATTTAACTGTATGCTAAATTAAGAAAAGAAGATTGTTTATATTTTAAAGTTAATTACTCTGGGTTATGATTCCCATTTATGAAATTGACAGTTTTGAAATTGAAATTATTTTTTTTTTGATTTTGAAAATTGCAGTTAAGTGCGGTCGGCCATGTTAAGGGTTCGTTTACAGAGATCTGAAACACAGCAGCTTTGGAGATATAATATTTAGAAGTCAAAATTAATTTTATCGTTCAAATTTTGAAATCAACCGCGCTGTGAATTCCCGCGTCTTTTTTTACGGTTGTAATTATTTTGCTCTTTTTTCCATACTTTTCCGTAGAAGAAACTATCGTGTTCGCTAAACTGCTACGTTTTGCTTGTATAACGAAAAAATTTGTGCACGTTTAAGCTATATCGTATATTAAATGCTTATATATATATATATTTTTGATTTTCCAGCTTAAATCCAGTTTTTTTCCCCAAAATTGATATTAAGAGCCCGAGAAAGGGATGCCGGCAGGATTACTCTACTGCTTTCAAATTGGCCTTCCATATTTGAGTACCCAAATATTTCAAGTTTACGAGATACAAAGTTTTTTTTGTGATTTTTCTTCGAAAATTTTTATTTTATTCAAATTTGAAAATTCCACGAAAAATTAAAATATCAACCGGGTAGTTTGGTGCTGTCAGATTAATTTTACTGATTCAAGTCTTGCCTCATTATCTCACTTCTCAAAAACTTTAAGTTTGCAAGATATGTCGTTTTTTTATGACTTTCAAAAATTTTCAAAGAACATAAAAACTTGAATTGAAAAAATTAAAATTTTCAATTCTATGGTAGGAGGTGCTGTCAAGAAACTTTCAGGCGTTGCAATTTGTGCCTCTAATTATGACTGCTCAGATTTTCTTAGTTTCCGAAACATGAGGTTTGCTCGAAACAAAATTATCAAAGAAAGAGTATATTGAAAATTGACATGAGTTAAAATTTTAAACCCCAAAATTGGGTGCTCTCAGGGATCTCAGGGGTTTCAAATATTGCCTCAAAATATAAGTGCTTAAATTTTCTTTTCGAGCTATGATTTTTTAAAATAATTTTCAAACCTTTTCACATAACGTAGATAAAAAACTTAAGAAAAGTTGAAGTTCTCAAATCTTTAGAGAAAGGTACTGTCAGGTTACACTCAAGCGTTGCAAATCTTGCATCGCTAAATGGTTGTTCCAATTTTTGTCATGATCCGAAATGGGACGTTTTTTCGATTTTTTTCTGAAAGTTAAATTAAAAGTTAAGTTTAAAATTAATTACGCTGGATTATGAATCCCATTTATGAAATTGAGGGTTTTGAAATTGAAATTATTTCATTTTTTTGATTTTGGAAATTGCAGTTAAATGCTCTCGGCCATTTTAAGGGTTCACTTACGGAGATCTGAAACACAGCAGTTTTGGAGATTTGGTTGTTTGAAGTCAAAATTAATACTATTGTTCAAATTTTGAAATCAAGAGCGCTGTGAATTCCCGCGTTTTTTTACGGTTGTAATTATTTCGCTCTTTTTTTCATACTTTTCCGTAGAAGTTACTTTCGTGTTCGCTAAAGTGCTTAGGCATGAGCAATTAATTGGCATATGTTGTTGTTTTTATTTTTGGCTATTATTTTGTCCTTTTTGAAAAAACAGGAACTATGAAAATATACGGGATTTAAATTTTTTTGCAACGCTCTGGAAATTTTTTGCACTTGTCGCAGAAATTTTAATTCTAATTACGCTTGCAATTAGCAAGTTTTATCAAATCGGACGGTAGATTTTTTTGGGGTTAATAGCTAGTTTATCAAAAATCAGTCGAATCACTTCTGATGGTGTCTTTGGGATTAGGGAAATTGCAGAGACCCCACCGGAGATATGCAGCTGACATGCTCAATTTCATGAACATCCAATCCCCCCTAATGGGTGGGATTTAGTTACTACATGTTAGTACCAGGGCAAACTTGATATTTTTAATTTCTCTATAAAATTAGTTTTTGTTTCGCGTAACTGGTTGCTGCTTAATGATTGGCGGCCTTGTTTCCGCTTCGCAAGAAGTTTTTTTCAGTTGCTTATTTGAGTTTTAATTGTTTTGCGTTGTGTACTTGCCTAGAAGTCCTGTCTGATGTATAGAATTGGTTTTTTTGGATTTAATGTTTCAGACGCTATGGAAGAATTTATCACTTTTTGCAAACATTTTATTTTTTCCTCACAAACTGGTCTACCATTGTTCAAAAAGAGAGAGTTCATAGAAAGGCCGACTATACCCTTGTGTGCTTAAATAGTCCCCTGATCACTTTGCTTTACCCTTTTGTGTACTGCCTTCAAAAAAAACTGTGTGGGAAAGTTTAATCAGTATTTTTAACGTTTTATTTTGCGTTTTCTCAAAAACTAACCTACCAAGACTGAGACTTTTGTTTCAATGAGTGGAGCAAATAAAATTCCCCTCCAGAAGCGGCTACGCACAATTTTTTTACACCTCAAATTATGGAACTCTGAGTAGTGATTTTTCCATTTTTTGACCATTCCCAAAAAATAACTTCCCAAACTTGCGAGGTTAGTGGGTTCAGTAGAGATTAGGGGTAGTATAAAACATCATCGGAAAAACCAAATTTTTGACTCTTTGACTGTTTTTCGAAATTTTCTGTCTTATCTTCAGAACTATTCCGCCAAACCTGGATCTTTAGGTTCAATTGAAGTTGCAGATTGCGATAATTTTTTTCTACAGAAGCGGAGTTTCAATATTTTTTTTGGGAAGATTATTGCTAAAAAACAACAATTAACATTGTGAGCGAAGTCCAATTTCTGAAATTACCTATTTCAACCCGCATAAAAAAACGAAATTCAAAAAGTATCGAACAGTTACCTCCGGCTTTCGCTGGGCCCATAATTTTCTTTTATTGAGATATACGAACATTTTGGCCCACCCAGATGTTTTCAACAAAATTCAATTTTTCTACTTTTTTATGTTCGTGTTGTTTATTAAGTGGCGTGAAGCTCCGTTTTGCCTCTCTGTCGAAAACTATTGTACCGTCTTCTCAAAAAATGGTACCAATGGACAAACAGACTGCTCTTCTATGCAAGTTTCACTGGTCTCTTTCATTTTAACCCACGTTCTACGGCGTTCAAATGCTTCAGTAGTGGGATGTTTGACCCATTCGTTTTGATTTTTGATTTTCTAAAATATTAAGTCCACAAATCTAAGATAAAGGTTTTCATCCAAAGAACAAATCGTGGGGTTCTCCCCTTCCCTAGCAGTTATTTGATAAACTCATTATAAAAAAAATGATGGCCTCAATCCAGTCCAAGCTTTGACGTTTTGGGTAATTTTTGAAACTTCTACCATAAACTACCCGGCTAAATCGGAGGTTAAGGGTGTAACCAAAAATAATAATCTTCCCTGCGCCCTACTTTTTGGAAAAATTTGGCCTGACAAAAGGTTCAGTTTTTGGAAAACTTGCCCTTTTTTTCGGAAACTTTTTTTTCTTCAAAAATTAATTTGCTTATTCTGAGGTGAATAGTTCATTGTTTCACCCTAACCTTTCTTGTAGAAAAGCCGATATGGACTTCGTGGACTTCGGGAAAATCTATTTTTTGAAAATTTTAATTTTTTTTAGAAAACTACTAGTTAAGTCTGATATTAAGGCTTAAATTTAAAATCATGGCGTAGAAATTTTCTCTGCATAAGAGACTCTTCTCTTTTTCAATGGAGAATAGTTCATGTATTTAGGAAAAAAAAACAAAAAAAAACCATTTTTTCGGCTTTTAAATAGTTTTTTGGAATCTTTTTCACTTTTTTTTCGAAAACTACGCAGCCAAATCTGAGATAAGAAATTCAATTGCAAGAACGAGTAGTAATTTTCCCTTATATAAGCAGCTAATCTCCTACTAATGCAGAGATTTAAATAGGGTTTTGTGAAGTGTCCATTTTTTCGAATTTTTGAAAATTACGCATTTCCGTATCAGTGTAATATATGATTAAAATAATATAACGGGTTCATCCAGCATTAGCTGGACCATTAGTTTACATTGAAATGACCTTGATGCATATGCGAGGACAACAGTGAATTCCTAATTATCTATTCGGAGATTCAAGTCCGGAACATTGAAATAGTTTTTTTGCTCGACTTTTTGCTGCTTTGTTGGTAGCTAGTGTTAGTAAAACTACAAGCGGTCGTAGATCAGATGTAAGAAGGTGGTACTCTTAATCTCAAAGCCTATTTTTAAAGTTTTTTTTCAAGGTGTATTTCTAATTTTTTCTTTTTTTCCTAATTGTTTTGCCTGTTCAGAGCTCTTTTTTTGGATTTTCTTCGCTTGTGTTTGCAAAACGCAGCTTGGCCTCGAGGTTGACTTTATTTTTTCGAAAATGGATTTTGATTATCAGATTTTTTTGCAAAATGAAAAATTATGGATTCTGCAAAAAACTGCTAGTGTTTTGGCAAATTGAAGATCATGAAAACGAAAAGAAATTTTATTTAAAAAAATTGAAAAAAAATGAAATTTAATTTTATCCTATTTTATATAAAGAAATATTATAGTTGTTTGATAGTTGGATAAATTGTTTGATGGTTCATTTAAACTTTGAGTGGATCAAGAATGAAATGGCTTTGATATAATATCACAATCTGCAAAAATCAACTGAAATGATTAACTCAATATTGGTTTTCGCACATTCACCATATCCTTACATATATTTGCCAAAATAAATGTTAAATTGACTGCTTCTAATAATAAAATTGCGTTTGAAAAAAATATGAACAATTTTTCAGACAGATAAAACGAAATTGATTCTTACCTTTACAAACTAAGTAAATTTTTTAAAATCAAATATGATAATTGAACTGTGACCTCTTAAACATCCCCTCCCCCTCTCTCCCGTCTCACCTCTCGATTTCGCTAAAAGGCAAAACTCGTTATTTTGTTCAATATTTGAATAAGCTTAGCCACCAAATTAGTTCTTCGCAGGGGTGTTGTACTTATACTAGGTACCGAAGGAGGGTGTAGTTGCTTAAGAGATATCTGAACTGTGTGAACATTATTTGAACTGCTGTGTTAGCTCTCTGAGAGTAATAAGTTTCAGAACTTTTGAGTCCAGCAGCACGTTTTGTTGCTCTCGAGTCGCGATTATTTTGGCCTTGAGATACAAAAAATATCTGTGGAAATTCCAGCAGAAATCTGCTATTTCTATTGCAGTCAACAGCTTCAGCTGTTTTTCCAGCCACCTGTGCATTTTTGGTTCCCATGCATTCAGCGAGAACAGCTCGTCGCTTGCTTCGTCGTCGGACTCAAGACCTGTCGGTTTGTTGAACACCATCGTTTTGATGTCATCTACAGTATCCACTTCCATATAGAGCAATAGTTTCCTAATTTGGTCATCGTTGAAGTTTATATTGAGTAATTTGAGCCGATGGATTACGCTGTCGAGTTTCAGCTTTTCCAGTTCGTCCAACTCGACTTTGTTAATTGCCGAAGGAGGAATTGATTTGGTCGGCTTCTGGAAGTACAACTCAAGCGGCGGAATTTCGTTTTCTTTCATGTATTTAACCACTTTGTCGATGATCCCTACAACATGTGAACTAATATCTCGTCCGTTTCCGTAAATGATGATGAATCGGTCGTTGTCGGACTGCAGTTCGGCTATTGTTTCCATCATCTCGGGAGAAATACGAACGTTTTCAATGCTGAGAACTCGAATTGTCATGTTTTTGTTCAGAACTTTTTTCAGCAACCAAACAACTCCATCGTCTCCGATTTGGTTTCCTCCGAGTCGCAGATACTCCAAGGTCGTGTTTTTAGTCAACGCCAGTGACATTTTCTTGACAGCTAGCATTGTCAGTCTATTTTCACTCACGTCCAGCATTTTAATGCCGCCCTGTTTTTTCCACATTTTGAACGTCAGAGAGAAAAACCGGTCGCCGCTTCCGTTTTTGGCGAAGTTAAAAATCTCCAATGAGTTGTTTGCTTTGAGCATTTTTGCGAACAATTTCCAAACCTTGTCGCCTTGGATGCGGTTCCATGAAATGTCAAGGTCGAAGAGACTCAGATTTTGCATAAGTGCTTCAAAAACTAGCATCGCACTTTGAGCTTCCAGCAAGTTCTCCGAGATGTCTAAAACTTGTAGTCCATTATTTAGTCTCAACGCTTTGCAGAACTCCTTCAAACCGGTTCTAGTCAGTCCGTTATTACGTAACACTAACGTCTGTAAATTGTCGTGACGTTCTAGTGCCCTGTAGAACGGGTAAACCCCTTCATTTCCTAATTTATTTTGGGCTAAATTAAGTCTGAGCAGAAATTTGTTCTTGACAGCCATTTCAGCAAAAGCTCTGCCGCCGATTGTCCCGATTCCATTGTCAACGAGGTCTAGTTCTTCTGTCATAGTGTTATGTTTGAGTCCGTTGGCAAGACACACTGCTTCCCTGTCATTCATGTAGTGATGGCGCATCGTCACACATCGGTTTTCCATTCGTTCCATCATGAATGAGATCGGGACAACTCCCTCTGTCCGGCAAGTGGCCTCGTACATAGTCCGACCGGATCCCTCGTAGATGTTCTGGATCCCAATTTCGAGTTTCATCTTCACATCATCTAGTTCAAGGTCTGTGTCGTAGTCACTGTCTGTTCCAGGCAGAACTGCTTCGGCGGCCGTGATAAACTTTGGAACCCAAGAGAGTTCTTCATCCGGCTCTTCTCGCAACTGTTCAATTCGTTCACGCGTAGATCCCCTAGGTGCTTGAGTAACACTAGCAGATTCGTCCCAGTTTTCGTCATCTTCACCTGAAAATCAATAATTTCTAAACCTAACTCAGTCAAATAAAGTTTTGAAATAATCCAGTTACTTCGTAACAATCGCGATAATCATTTTAAGAATATTTGATGCAAAAACATACATTTGTTAACTTTTTTCAAATAAATTTAAATGCAGATACTTACTCGCAAACTCGTCAAATCCGCTTCCATCTTCGTCGCTACCTTCTCCTTCGCTAAAGTGGAGAATTCTGTCTTTCAAACTGCGCTGCATCCTTGCATTGTCAGCCTCATCGTCTTCTTTTCCAGATCCAGGCGTTCCCTGACTTTTCACAATCTTAGATCTATTCTGCGCTGACCCTGGTTTCTGCGACTGGTTTGACTTCAATCTTGACCCAGGTTTAGAAGGAACCACTGCAGTTTTGGCCCTACTGGAAAGCGCCCTGGAATCTTTGCCACTTCTGGCTGCAGATTTAGTACCTGTCTGGACCTTGGAAACATTAGATCCAGGTGTTTTAGATTGTCTTTTAGCATCTTGGTTTGCGAAGTGTAAAGATATTGATGTCGTATCTTGTACTGGTTCATTCTCTTCTTCAATTCGGGTTGGTTTTTCATGATCGCCCTTTTCGATTTGTGATTTCAATAAACTCTTCGACTCAAGTTCGTTTTCCTGTCCTTCATGCTGCTCGAGGTTTGAGCCCGGTTGTGGTGTCCGCACGTATCGATTGAAAATGTAATGAGACTTTTTCGATCTTTGCGTCATTTTTATTGAAGTTAAAGTTAGTCTATCAAGTTAGTACAATAATAATTATAAAATGCATAAGCTTTGCCGCTGACAACTTAAACTTTTCATTCAGAAAAAAAGCACGTGTGAATAACAGTGCACTTACTTCAATTAAATAACTATGCAAAAACAAGCAACTATTTTTTGAAAATGTACCAAACGACTCGTAGCTTTTGTAAGCGTCCGTGGAAAAAATTCAATGTAGATTTCAATTTGATACTAAAGTGTACATGAAAAAATCAAGAAGAAAAAATAACCTAGAGGGTGTGGGCTTCCAAGTAGACAAAATATCGCTGGGAATTCTAGGTCGAATTTTTCTAAAAATGCGATTTTGGAAATTTTAATGGGAGTAGAACATATGTTTAAACCTGTCGTAGTTTAGATTCTAGATGAGAACAAAAATTTTAAGTTCAAAAAGTTTGACTCAATAAGCTTTAAAAAAAATTTAGGGTAGCAATTTGGGCCTGAATTTTACAAAAACATAATACTGGTAAATTCTGAAATTTTGTTGTGCCAGCAGTTTTTGTCCTAACGCAACCCAACTTAACAAAACACATGTAAAGTTTTCACTTTTTTTGTTTTGTTAGGAGAATTTTAACGACCCGGGTTGACCAAAACTTCTTATCATACAATTTCCATTTGTGAAAAACTCCTTGCCATAAAGTTCCATACAATTCCATTCGTACAGAAAGATGTATGAAATCTCTACGATAATCATTTTTCCATATATGAAAAATGTATGAGAATTATTTTCCATAAACCAAAAAGTTTACTCAAAGCATCAAAGCACCAAAGGTTGGATTGTTTTGTATTTACAATGCAAAAAAAACCTGAATTGTTTTAGAGCTGTCTTTCACAATTGATAAAACGAAAGTAACATACTTTAAAATTGAACTTTAAAACTATCAGACTTTGATCAAGACATACATAAACATCCCATACAAAAGAAATAGGAATTTTCAACGAAAACGAAAAAAAGTCCAATAATAAGGTATCCAGAACTACGTTATGCGCACAAAAAATTGAATTATGCATGCAAAAAAATTTTTTGGAAAATGTTCGTTTGAGTACAAAACTCGATTTGCGGCTGAAAAAAAAAACAAAAAAACTTTTGGGCCCTTTCGAAGTTACTTGTATCGCCAATAAAAAATGCTAGTCAGACAATTTCCATGTAACTTCCATTTTTTTCAAAAAACAAAAACCTTGGGTTTTTATCACCAGACTGATTTAAAAGAACCAAACAGCCACAGAAATTAGTTTATATCTTTTTTCAACGATTTTTGGAAATTGTATGAAAATTTTATGACAATCTTTTTTCCATACATTTGATGTATGGAATTGTATGATAAATATTTTAGATGTATGGTGGTCAACCTGAGTATTCAATTTGGAACAATTTAATCCGCCCTCTACGCGTGTTATAAGATTGCAATCTTTTGCTCGTTCATTGTCCAATTATGGCCCAATTAGTAACTTTCAAACCTGCTAATCTTAACACAAAAAGATCACAGATGAAAATTGTTTTCATTTGAGCTCCAATCAACTACTTTCCTCAGATGATAAAAAACAATTGCTCTAAACACGCTTCATCAAAAAGTCGAAAATTGGCTGAAAAAATACCAACCCAATCATAAAACTATGTACTTTTGTGGAAAATAAAAAAATGAAGTGTACTAGGTGCAACATAGAAAAATGGGCGACTAGATTTAGAGCGGAAAACCGCAACTAAAAAGCGCTACTCGGCATGTTAAGTAAAATTGGAACAGAGAGCTTAGGCAATCTTTCTCGAAAAGAAAGGTCAATTTTCTCTTTAAGAAAATGAAAAAAAAAATGCTGCAAGTTTGACCCACCGTTAAGAAAGATTACAAATTTGAGTGTAATGAGTCAACATATTTGGTATTTTCGAAACCGGAAAAATTGGGTAATAATTTCATTCCAACTTTTGGTACTTTCACAAAGGAAAGTTAAGATAAATTGATCTTTGTCCTCTAACAAAATTGTATGAATTTCCATCAAAAGTGGCCAAAATGGACGTTGAAAAAAAAAATAAATGTTAAAAACTCAGAATTCTCATCTACTGGCATGGAAAAAAGGAGAAAGAAGGAGAAAGTACTATTCATCAGTTTTCTAAAAGCTTATTGTTCCGACCATTGAAAATTGGCTGGAACTTTGTATTCGGGTGTTTTTTTCCACGCAAAATCAGGTACCACAAATAATGATTGAACTGGGATGAGCGATATATCACATTAAAGCCCCTTAAGTCGCGATTCGATCAATATTAGAGAAAAATGAAATTTTTTCACTGTGTCGATAAAAACCGGTTTAAGATTTTTGATTTTTGGTCTAATTTCGCGCTAATAAGGTGACCGTATATGCTTGCAATAGTTTTCTAAGCTTAATTTCAGTCGTGAAAACTTAGTTTTGTTCAAAAAAAAGGTATTTTCTTAAGTTTTTTTGCGCAATTTTGCGAATCAAAAACTTCATAATTCAAAAAATTGTGTAGAAAAACTTGAAAAATTTTTTGAAGTTTGTTTCTAAATTTTTTAAAATTTTGTTTTTCCTTTTTCTAGTCAGCCATTTTTCTTTATAAACTGTTTTCCAATTGACCTATTTTACTATGACTCTCCAATATGCCTAAATTCTACTTTTTTGTTCAGATTTTTGTATCACAACATGCAGAAAAAAACGACATCAATTTGTAAAAAAAAACTTTGTTTTGTATTTTTTTTAAGACTGCGGTCGGAACATTCTGTCTTACTTGCAGAGCAACTGGCTATCCTAATTTTTTATAGAATTTATTTAGAATCTCTAAAGTGTTTTAGTAATAAAAGATTCAAACTTTCAAATCCAAAAATTTTCCAAGACACATCATTTGTTACTTAAAAATAATTTGCGGCCACATTGGAGTGTTCTTAATTGAAATCAAGCGTGAATTACACATGATAGCTTGAAGTAAAAACGCAGTAAAACTCAACTAGCGGTATACGGAGATGCGCTTAGGCTACATTTAGTTAAAAAACATGTCCCTTCGGCGCGGGTTCGGTACTTAATACTCTTTTCAACTTAATTTTAACGTAGTAATGGTTTCATAAAACAAAACAAAAAACAATCGTTTTTTATCTGCCTGACCTCAAAAAGGCAAATTGTTGGCTGCAATCTTTCGTGCTTGCTGTCAATCCTTGCTGCTTAAACAACATATGTTCTCAAATGTAAAAATTTTATTGAAAAAAAAAGTTTTTTTTCCCGAATTTTTGCATAAGTCAGAATTATAAGATGGTCCAATTGCTTTTAATTGCCACTGAATTTCGGTGCATTTACAATTAAATCTAATTATTCTCTATCTAACTTACAAACAACCGACCTGAGACAAATTTTCCTGGGACCAATTTGATTACCGCGAAGTTCAATCAACCGAACGCATGTCAAGTTGAATCAGCCAAACGCCTGTCAAGTTCAATCAACCAAACGTCTGTCAATTTCTATCTGCCGAACTTTGGATATCGTGAGCCAGAAGATAACTAACTCTTCACAAACGAAAACCGCCGTTAAAATTTTTTTCTCAGATTCTAAAACAAAAACTGATCACAACATCAAAATTGCTGCTCGCTTGGTAACGGCAAGCACCCACTTTGCAAATGTAGCGTCTTAAAAAACCGAAACTCAAAAAGCTAATTTTTGCGCAGATAGTAAAATAAGTTTTTCTGATTATCAAGGAAATCACATGTTTGAGAGATGTTTTGAGCCAAAAAAATGTCGCAAATCTAAATGAGAGACCAGACAGAAGGAGTTTTCGCATGAAACTGAGCGCATCTTTCCAGCACGTTTTCCAGAAAAAACCGTCTGTTTGCACACTCCTCGTAATTAAAACTAAACCTGCCGTTGATGTAATATTTAAAACAAAACACAGAAAACTCCACTTTTGCAACCTCAAAGGTGAGTGCCAAAGGCCTACTGTTTATCGTAAGTCTATCAAATCGAACCAGCTCTTTTGAAAAAAATGTGGTTCTGATTTGTGACTCAGCCTAGAGTCATTCTTGCTTGTCATCTGATGTAGCAAATAAAATTAATGTGATAGGTCGAAAAATTTAGCTAAAAATAATAGACTTTATCTCAAGTGAGGTTATCGTCTCAGTGCGAGTTGACTTAATAATTACACTTGAGTTTTTTCCGGAAAAAAATTTCTCTGTCTTCGCCTATATCATTTATTACAGGAGAATGGTTTCAGATAAAATAAAGCTTTACAGGTTGTATCATATATATCCTTACTTGGAACCTGTTAACCCCTCGGATGCCGAATTGCTGATGCAATTTAGGTTGAAATGGTATGCCAAGATTTAAATGACTTTTTTCACCCCCAATGAACACTTCCAAATTCATCTGAATTATTTATCCCTAAAAACAGTAAGTTTCTTTTGCTGTTTGCCTAAATGGGATGGGTTTTGAGTAATCATCTCCTTTCAACCAGGGGTCTGATCTTCGCATGCTTAAAATGTGATGCTGAGGATGTAACTTTAGAATAGCAGATCAAACCCTGACAAAACCTTGAATTATATAGCGCCTACAAGCAAGTAGACGCTAGGTCCTCAGCCGATAAAAGCGTAAATAAAGTCACTGAGTCAACCACGACACACGATGATCAAAGATACTCCACCGGCATGCTCTGGGCTGCGGACGACTCAGGTTTACCAAACGTTTTTTTTTGTTTGCGTAATACTCCTGCTAGAGTCTTTGGTAAAACGCTTAGAAAAAGTCAAAGCTTCTGAAGGGTCTTTCGCAAAACCTATTTGAGATGAATGTGATGAAGAATGTGTTTTAAAAAATTAAGCCCACTGCCCTTAAACCGTTCTGCAAAGGTATGGTTTTCTCTCACCACACAGGTAAAAAGCCTGGATGACATTGGCTCGTTCTCTACAAAGCATTCAAAGTTCACAAGTTTTTCCTCGCTTTCTGTTCGGCGCCCAGATTTGCTTACACATCCATCGATCGGCATCAATAAACATTGACTTGGTAAACAGCTGAGAATTTGAAAACACAGCGCGGGGGAATTGAACTACGTCTTTTGTTGTATGCGAAGATACCATTT